GAATCTTATCTCCATCTCTTTTCACCCGACCCATCTAGACAAGATGAAAACTATTCAGTGGGGAGTCTATTTTCACCCCACACATTCTTAAACTAAACTCCCTCTTGAAACCTTGTAAGCCAGTCACTTTGTACCTTTATCACCCCCTCATTTTAGGTAGCCAACATATTAAGTTGCTCGTCCCTATCTACCCTGTGTACAGAGGGGATAGCATTGATACTTGATGTGAAGACACCCTCTCTCTTGGTATTTAGAGTTACTACCTCTTTGAATATAGATCAGGCTCATCAAATTGTAGCAATTTAGCCTCATTTCCTTTATCAAAAATTGTTTTTGTTTTTATATCTTCCTCTAGTCGAGTTCTGATTGTCAAGCCATCGAGGCTAGGTCATGGGTACCATTTGCAAGTTTGGGTATAGACCAAATGATTTTGTGGGCCTTATATTCCCTACCCCTGCTCTAGCAGATGAATATTGAGAGATTTTAATTCAAGCTCAGGGATTTGACCTTCCATTGATTCACTTCTACTTTTTTGCCTTTTCTGTGTAATTTCTATTTCTAAAATTGTAGCATTAATATTCTGGCTTCCTAATTGCTCTTTTTCTTTGGTTCCCATTTTTCATTTATTTTTGTCAGTTTGTTTCCTAAATTTTCTATAGTTTTATCTGCAATTTGCTCGACCATTCTCTCAATTCATTGCAGTTGTCTAATTAGCATTCTTTAAAATTTCTTTTCAGGTAGTTCTGATACCATTTCAGGTGTTTTAAATATATATACATATACATATATATATATATATATATATTTAAACTTTTTATTGTGAATTGAGTGAAGGTTTACAGACAAGATCATCAGGTTTACATTCAACAACAAATCACACACTTTGTTTCTTCTCAATGATTGCAATCTCCTCCATGTAACAACAGTTATCCCACTTCCTCCCTGTGGTTCTTATTTCCATCCCACCCTTTCTCAGCTTTGTCCTTAAGTAAATGCTGCCCTTTTGATTGTGAATGGTTGACCATGCCATGGTAAGCATACTTTACCTGAGTTGTTGTGTCCCTTCCCCCCACCCCCCATATACCTATCTACTGCTTGTCTGAATCTTGATCCATGAGGGTAAGCTCTATTCCAGACCTGAAAGGTGGGTGAGGGCCACGGTCTTAGGTTCCTCCAGTCTTTTTCTGACTAGTAAGCCTGGTCTTATTTTTTTTCATTTGAGTTTTGTTGCACACTTTCTCCCACTCTCTCTGGGACCCTGTACTGTGTTCCCTTTCAGAGCAGTTGGTGGTGGTAGCTGAGCACCATCTATTTCTTCTGGTCTCAGAGTCACAGAGACTGAACAACATGTGTTCACTGGTCCATTGGAATAATTGATTCCAAGCATCTTCAATTTTCATCAATCTCCGTTCTTCCACACATGGAGAAAACAATAGCTGAACCTTAGATGGCCGCTCATGACCATTTAAGATTCCAGTTGCTACTCACCAAAGTAGAATATAGAACCTTGTCTTCGTGAATTGTGTTATGCCAGTGGACCCCTGAGACAATGGTCCTGAGTCCCAAGGCCCAGCAACTCATTGCCTTAAGATGTTGATAATATCGATCAAGTTTTTTTTATCATGGTTCTATATTTTCTGACTCTATACTTTGACCACTTGTTTAAGGCACTCTGTCTTCTTTCTTTGTGTCCACTGAAATTGTGAATTTTCTCTAAGGCAAGTAGCTAGTTCTTAATTGATATTTAATTGATGATTATACATTGGTGTGTTTGCAGGCACTCACCTGTCTCCTGGTGGATATGGTAGAGAAAGGAAGTGTGAACATAGTTTGTTCACTGTTTGTAGAGTAGTTTAGGGTAGGTCCACACACTTCCAGAAGCAGTGGTGCTCTGCCTAGCAGAGTAGAGGCTGTGCAGGAGTGGGTGCTATTGGCTGCTGGGTTGGTGAGGGCAGGGTCTGACCATGCCCCCAGCTACCAGGAGGGCATAGGAACAAGGGAGGACTGCACCCCTTGGATGCCCACCTCCAGCCACATCTTGTGCCAGTAGGTTACTGTATCAACAGCCTTTAACAAAAGGTCAAGGTGGCTACACCCCTCCAAACCAGCTCATAGTCCACTGTTTTTCTTTTCTCTCACTGCACCTATTCACCTTCCTCTTCTAGTCAGCACTCAGCCCATCTGTGTCCTAGCCTGTGATACTCAGGTTTCCAGGATCACCATCTGTATATGTTTCACTTGGTCTCCATTGTCTTTGTTGTAGAGGGTCAGATCAGTGCCTCTGCCTGCTCCGTCCTCTTGCCTCAGTTCTTTCCTGTACTAATCTCTTATTCTATTGCCTCATCCTGAGACAAAGTAGTTCTAAGTAGGAATAGATTCTTTGTAGAAGTTGCCTACAGATTCTGGAGCGGTGGCTGGTGTGGGGGTGAAAATATTTGGCTTTATCAGATTTACAGAAATATTTTTAGTCATTACCCATTTTAAACCCTAAATTACTCTGAGAAGTCACTATCTCTCACTTTGCGCTTGAAATTCCTGGGATTTCATCTCTGAGCTCACTAAATGCTCTGTAGCAAGAGGAATGTATTAGGAGGAGATTGTTCTTAGAAAAGGACTACTTTTGTTGGAATAGAGCTCAGTCTACACTATTCATAGTAAGATACCAGATTCTGCAGCCTTGTGAAGTGAGTGGTAGAGGCCTCAGCTAAACCATTATCAAATTTACTGGCTTTCACCATATTTTGTGGTGGTTTCTCAGGAGAGTGAAAGGGCTGAGAAATGGTGATTCGTGGAAAAGTAGAAATTGATGGTTGTGTTTTCTATTTTGCAGTTTTGACCCCTGCCCCAAATTAAAACCCCTATGCCATTCAAAACCAAAGAAGAATATTGTAGAGTGTTTGGGTAGAAAATTGGCTATATTCCTTCCTCTGTTATTAATATCTACATTTTCCAGTTACTACATGAAATTAGGAGTCGTGGTATGGCACTGTAGAATAAGCACTGAACTACTAAATGCAAGGTTGGCTGTTCAAACCTACCAGTTGCTCCTCAGAAACACTATACAGGGTCACTGTGATTCAGAACTGACTCAATGACACTAACAACAACATGAGTTAAGCCTCACTTTGAAAAGACTTTCTTTCCTGAAGCCCTAGCAACTGCTCCAATGAAGACTTGTAGGCCATTATAATCTAGAAAGTGAAATACTGTATGTTATTACCTTGAGCTCAGGAAAATAGAATGATTTTTCTATTCTTTTCTTTTCTTTAAAAAAAAGCATTTGCTAAACAAACAAACAAAGAAAACCATTTATATGTTGACTGGTTGTAGACCACCCACCCCCACCCACCCGCTTTTTTTCCACTTTCTAACCTTACTTTGGAACAGTCAACCGTTACAGAAGTTAATTCACTTGTCAGAGTAAGTCTCTATAAACTGCCAATAGTGACTGCAGTATTTTCGTCAGGTGATCTGAACTTGTATACTGTGGTAATAGTATTCTGCATATTTTCCCCAGATATATAACATTTCTATTTACAGCTACCAAAATCTATTCTTTCTTTAAACAATTGAGCCTTACTACAGGCAAAGGAGAATTGGTATGGTGCTTTAGGATAAGCACTGGACTGCTAACCACAGTTGGCAGTTCAAACCCATCAGCCACTCTTCAGAAACCCTACCTAGCATCTCTAAGGTGGAACTGACTCAACAGCACTTAACAACAACTGGTAACGTAGATGATTCTTTTAGAGTAAATTTGAAGAGGAAATCCATGCTCAAGTTATGATTTAAGGACCTAAGTTAGGCTGTGGGCCTAGAAGGGGCCAGGGAAGGCTAGGAAATGCAGGCACCAAGGTAAAGAGAACTGCCTGAGGCCATTAAGTTGATTTGTGACAGAACTGTGACAATCTTCTACAGATGCCCTGTCAGTCACATCTTTCCTCACTGGATGTCACCTCTAGCTCTTTCCTCGTGTTTCTCTAACATTGTTATTTATCAGTGCATTCCAACTCTAACTGCATCCAGAGACTTCAGTTACAATGGAATCTATATCTGGAATTGTTCTTTATCTTTAGGCCAACTTGGTGTCAAAAGTCTTTGTAGTTTACCTCTCAACTGCTTTGACTCTAACTCTGGGAATCATTCCTCATTCCACTTTCTTTACAAACAAAAAGACGCTTTCTCTTTGACTGCTGTCAATTTTCCAGGCTCTCTATTTCTTTATTTCATTTGACAAAAAGCATTGAAAAGCTATAGAGCCCTGACATGATATTATTTAGAAAGCAAAAACCTTTTTCTTAGTTCTCTCCTACCAGGTACATACAATTTACTCCGTCTCTCCTCATTTTATTCGACACATAGTATTTCTTTTTAATGAATTTATTTTTTGAATTTATACATACACAGCAGAACACGCACCCATTCAACAATTTCTACATGCACAATGCAGTGGCATTGGCTCTGTTCTTTATGTTGTATCTTCATTCTCATTATTTATACCCTTGTTGTTTCACTTCCATTGACTTAGAACTCACTGTCTTCATGCTTTATGTCGACATTTTGAGCTCATAGAGATCATTCCTTCAAACAGGGCAATGCTCATGGGGAATATTTCTTACTAATTTAGCTCAATGGTTGCTTAGCTGGAAGGTAACTTCAGGGGATAAGTTGTTTTCACAACTATATTTTAATCATTAAGCTACATGGTAAATAAAGATTCATCACTAAGGAGCCCTGGGCATTGTAGGATAGGCACTGGGTTGCTAACTGCAAAGTTGGCAGTTCGAGCTCACCTGGCACTCCTCCGGAGAAAGATGAGGCTTTCTGCTCCTGCAAAGATTTACAGCCTTGGAAACCCTCTACAGGGTTGCAATGAAAATGTAATCGACTCAATGGCAGTAGGTTGTAGTTTACAATGGTGGATATTTTTGGAGATTCGTCTTCACTGTCCAGCACTGTCTCTTTCCTTCTGAATGTTCTTTGTGTTTTTCTCACTGAAGGGCCCTCCGATCCCCCCAGGACCAGATAGTTTTGGCACCGACCTTGGCACGGGTTGACATGGAGATGACCCAGCTAACTCAGGAGAATGCAGACTTTGCCACTCGGGATCGCTACCACCACTCTTCCTTCGTGAATCGGGAACAGCTAATGCCTCAGTACTAGAGGCAGCTCTGGGCCTTCCGATTCTGGAGCTGTGTGCAAAGAGAACCGCAAATTCAAAAGCTTTTGTGGAGCTCTTTCTACTCATTAAGAAACTCAAAGGCCTGCCCTCCAACTGCTGCTATGGACAATGGGAACTGGTCTGTAGCACTGTATCTAACTTAAGGTGACCATTAGAAAGAGCGGGTGCCTCTGAAACATGGCTCACAATCGGAAGAGCTCAAAGCGCACATCAGGTATAAGAAAACAAGAACCAGAGTGTTCTGGAGGTCACAATGAAGGGTTATTTTTAATTTAATATTAATATTTATATATTTTCAAATAAATAATACATTTAAATGGATGGGGTCAAAACCAAAATAGGATAAACACGAAAGTATACGAGAGGGCTTCAAAGAGTGCATGGAAAAACCCCATTATCGTTGGGGTTCATTGGCCACTCCAGCTGGCTGCTTTCTCTCTTCATTCTGTGCGCTGACAGTGTGCTCATCTTTTAAAAGTCCTTTCCCACTCAGTCCCCCCTTTTGGTGAGGTTTCTGTGAGGTAGTCAGGTGGTCATCCTGCAACTTAGTGGCTTCAAATGCACTCTCCTTTGGTGTGGTCTCTTTTGGGGGCCAATTGGTTGAAAGAGAAACCAATAGTGCAACTGTTTTTATACTAAAAATTGGCAATTTTTTATAATATAAATAAAGAACCAGTCCCTCAAAAAAAAATAATAAAATCCATTATCTTATAGTTACATTTTCCACAAACTTTTCAAAGCCCCTCATATAATGAAAAAGTCTTCCTTGTTCCTCATCTGCTCAGGTCCTATCCCCTGCTCCAGAGGTAACTACTGATTTTAGTTTTCTGATATCTGCTTCCCACATTTCTTTATGCATATATAAACATACAGTAGGAATGTGGATTCTTTTTTCATTCATTTTTAGTATATAAATGGTAGCATAGTTCATACATGTTCTGCATCTTGCCTGTTTCCCTGAATAATCTGTCTTGATGATATTTGCCTATCAATACATATATAGATTTTTCATTACTTTTCATCATAGGATTATGCTGTTATTTCATCAGTTCTCCAATGATAGACATTTGGATGTCTATCAATCTTTTGCTATTACAATCTTGTGCATATATACAAGTTTAAGGGTATGTGTAGGATACACTCTTAAAAGTGGAATTACCGGATCGAAGTCTATATGCATTTTTTAGCTCTTCTTGTTTAGTGAAGGTCTTTTTAATGAAAAAGTAAATTATCAAAGTTTCCAAGTGGTGGCTAATGTTCTTCAAAGTCTATGTGGTCCCTAACTCCTGGACATCTTATTGCAGCTGTTTTGCAGCATAAATGCCCTGAAGGGTCAGGCCTATCTGGGTTTCTCTGGGAGCTCCCTGTGACATTCGTCTCAAGCACCCATTAGGGACCGTGGCACCTGGCCCAGCTTCAGTTATTTTGCCAAAGAGTACAGAAGGAAATACTGTTGGTTTGTTTCCAACCTCTTTCTTCTACAGTAGTTTTCAAAAGTTAGTGTGCTACTTGACTGCTAATTGCAAGGTCAGCAGTTCAAACCCACCAGCCACTCCTTGGAAGCCCTGTACAGAGTCACTATGAGTCAGAACTGGCTCTATGGCACTTGACAACAATGACAATAGAGTGGTATGTGGGGGACAAGAACACTAGTGAGGTGCACACAACAAAGGATAGTCAACTATTTGAGGTCAAAAGGGCAACATTTACCTGGGGAAAGGAGAACATTTACCTGCTAAGAGTCATAATGGAGAATGCAGCTTAGAAATATAGCGGTGAAGTGCTATAGATGATGTTATATTCAGGGGATTGCAACTGAGATGAAATGAAGTGTATGATCTGTTGAATATAAAATGGATAATCTTCTCTATAAACTTTCACTCAATTCACAATAAAAAGTTAAAATTTTTAAAAAGTGTGATAAAGTATCACCTGAGATGTTTATTAGAAGTGCAGATTCCTACTCCTCATGTCTAGACTATTTTATTATAAGCTTGGGGTACAGCCCTGTCATTTACAACTATAACAAGGGCCTCAGGTGTCCACACAGCTAGTCCTTGGACCATATTTTCAGAAACATTCATGTGTTGGATATTGTTCCAACTCACAGCAACTTTATGCATAACAGAAGGAAACAGTGCCCAGTCCTGAGTTGGATTTTCTTGTTGTTGTTGTTAAGTGCCGTTGAGTTGATTCTGACCCATAGCGACCCTGTATTATTATTGTTGTTAAGTGCTGTCAAGTTGGTTCCGACCCACAGTGACCCTGTATACAGTTTCCAAGGAGCAGGTGGTGAACTTGAACTGCTGGCCTTGCCCTTCAAATGGCTTTATAGTCTGGCGCATTAACCCACAGTGCCACACCAGGCCTCCTGTATAGCATGGGCTTAATATGAGAGAGTGGTGGGGCAGTCATGGTGAGGAGCCAGTTAGATCTTAAAATCCTACCCTAGAAAATAGGATCTAGTTTACGATTATTGTTACCTGTTATAGAGCTAGCCTCTTATTCAGTGCAACCCTATACACAACACAATGAAAGGCTGCCCCGTTCTCAGCCATCCCCATAATCGGTTGCAGATTAGACCCTTGTTATTGTAAGGCTTTCTTTGTTCACAGAATCTAGTTTTAGCTAAAAACCTGAACATCATTAGAAACAATGTAAAGACAACAAAGTTCACAATAGGCAAGCGGGGAAACAAAGACCATGAAAGATGGACCGTACTTGGTGAAGGGCTCACTGGACTGACTTCTAAGGCTCTCATTAAATAAAAGGCACTGATTCTGTGGTTTGCTCTTATAAAATTCTATATAACAAGCTAAAAAAGAAATGCCTCTGAAAAATATGGCTCTGATTTTGTAAACCATACACAGCAGAAGATTCAAGTATCCAGCAAGAGTGCTTTCCCCCACAGGGTGACTTTTGTAGAAGAGAATGAGAATGCTGGGGTAGGATGAAGAATGCAGATGTTATGTTCAGTGCTGCTGCTATTAAGTGCTATAGAGTTGGTTCCAACTCAGAGATCCTGTACAGGCCTTCCGAGGAATGACTAGTGGGTTTGAACCACCGACCAGACCAGTGCTTAGCCTATGACTCAGTCTAGTATGGAAGGCAGATGATAACCAGACTGGACCTCTGTAATGAGTTTCAGAAATTTGTTTTTTAACCAAAACTAGATTATGGCACTGTAGGGTAAACACTGTACTCTAATAAAATAGGGTCATTTTGAACCACAAAGCCAGCAGTTCAAATCCACCAGCCTTGCTCCTCGGAAACCCTATACAGGATTGCTATGAGTCGACTCGACAGCACCTAACAACAAGATAGTATGAACAATAATAATAATCGGTAAAATAGTAGTCAAGTCTTGCCTGACTCCCCCAAAAGCAGAAGTTTACATGCTGCAACTTTCTTAGGGAGTGCATCCAGAAACTCAGGAGTGAGAGAAAAAAGGAACGAAGTCTCAAAGTGTCATCAGCAACTGAATGCTTGGTCCTCAAGGACTGTTTTCTGAGAGACTGTGGAACACTGTCTGAAGACTACACTTCCAGAGAAAGGAAGAGATTGAATTTGTCCACAGGCTCCTGTCTCCCACAGTCAGAGGTTATCCCTGAGGGACAGTAACCACCCTTGCATTTGTGATTTGCACAAGAGAGCATCCAGAGAGCTGCAGAAAGCAACAGCCAGTAGGTGTGGACAGAGGCACCATCAGGCTTGTGCCTGTGAAAGTGACTGCTCTATGCAGAATTGCTAGCTGCCAGGGTGGCTGGGATGGAACAAGCTGCCTAGGCCCCAAAGCCAAGCAGAGAGGATCTGAAGTGGCACATAGGAAGTGTTGGAAATATCCAGTAAAAGGCAGTACTAAGTACCGGTGGTCAGAAGGACCAGTACAGATGTCAAACAGGGATTACTTCTGTAAAGGAAGCCCCCAAAGTAAGCACAGCCAGAATGTACGACAGTGAGACCAGCAACATTTTCTAAGATAGACAGACACTGGGTTCCTGGTCTGAAAGTTTTATGAAGGAGTGCACAGGTATAGACGATAATGTCTTGAGTTTGTGAGGATCACTTCAGACCTGCTGGGATCCAAGGCCCGACCTACCCATTCTGAGACACAAAACTGCTGGAATTTCTAGCCCTCTAGATTTCCAGAGGATCTACAGAGTCTGGACAATCACATGAGCCAGTTTCTTAAAATTAGTCAGTCAGTCTGTCTATCTAACTGGTTCTATTTCTCTAGAGAATGCTAACAAAACACCATTCATCTTCTCATTCATTCATCCATTCTTCCATCTAATGATCCAACCACTCACCCACCCATCCATCCATCCACCAATCCATGACTAGAGCAGCCAGACACAGAACTTCATAAATAGATGCCTGAGACCACCACACCTGGACCAGGTATACCTCGCCAATCTCAGAGCTTAGTTATGTAAAGATATTGTTACAGGTCATTCAGGCATACATGAACTCCTCAGTCATCACCCTCAGACTTTCAAAGTGAGTACAGTCTGGTATTAGAGCATTCTTGAACTCAGAGCTAGGAACCAGAACAGGGTTATTTTCTTTTCAACTCTAATCCACAATAGAGTGCATCTTGTACATCATAAAATGCCATGTAAGTCAGGTTCGGAATTCCATCCTCCCTCCTTCCCTCCAGGTTTCTCACTGAGTGAGTGTATCTAAGGATGGGGAACAATGTATCCATTTATGCATTACTACCTAGACAAGGGGACAGACCTGCTAAGAGTCTTAATGGAGAATGCAGCTGAGATCAGAAGGTTGAAGCAAGGCCTCTAGTATCGATTGAACGTCCTTCCTCTTGAATATCAGAAGCCACTTGTCCTGAAGACACTTGAATGAAGTGTAGAAAATGAGAGAGAACAACCAACCGGCTTCATCACATAGGAACCCCGCCCACCAGTGAGGTGGGCATGCTCAATGCCAAGCTTTGGCCAATATTATCCAAGGGGAGAGTGGG